GTAAGTTGGTGGTTGAAGACATAAAATGAAAAATAGCTGGTGGAACATAGTCTTAAGCATGAGTCATGAGATAGTTTACCTTGACCAGCAAAAAGACACAAAACAAACAACGTTGGATATAAGAAGAGTGTCTTGCTCATCTCCTTGACACCATCACTGAAGACAAATGGGTGCAAAAGCAAATATGGCGAAGAAAGCTGATAGTGCCCAGCTATCAAAAGATATGGCGTCTGGGGTCTTAAAGGCTTTAAGGTAAACAAGCGGCCATCTAGCTCAGAAGCAACAAAGCCCACATGGAAGAAGCACACCAGCCTGTGTGATTACAGGTGTCGAAGGGATCAGGTATCAGGCATCATCAGAACAAAAAATCTTACCTTAGGGAATGAGGAGGGGAGTGCGGAGTGGAGACCCAAAGCCCATTTGTAGGCCACTGGACATCCCCTTACAGAAGGGTTTCTGGGAGGGGAGGGGAGGGGAGGAGACGAGCCAGTCAGGGTGCAATGTAGCAACAATGAAACATACAAGTCTCCTCTAGTTCCTAAATGCTTCCTCCTCCCCCACTATCATGATCCCAATTCTACCTTACAAATCTGGCTAGACCAGAGGATATACACTGGTACAGATAGGAACTGGAAACACAGGGAATCCAGGACAGATGAACACTTCAGGACCAGTGGTGAGAGTGGCGATACTGGGAGGGTGGAGGGAGCGTGGGGTGGAAACCAGGGAACCGATTACAAGGATCTACATATAACCTCCTCCCTGGGGATGAACAACAGAAAAGTGGGTGAAGGGAGTGGGAAGATATGACAAAATAATAACATATATATTCAAGGGTCGATAAGGGAGGGGGGGAGTGAGGAGGGAGGGGGAAAAATGAGGAGCTGATACCAAGGGCTCAAGTGAAAAGCAAATGTTTTGAGAATGATGATGGCAACAAATGTACAAATGTACTTTTCACAATGGATGGATGTATGGATTGTGATAAGTTTTATGAGCCCCCAATTAAATGATTTAAAAAAGGGAGAAAATTAAAATAAAATAAAAACCCATAAATCTCTTTCTTATATCCTCATTTAGCTGCTTAAGAGATGTGCTACTATTCAAATATGCTCTGGTTGACACTGATATCAAGCCTTCAATCCCTAAGAGAGCTTACATTTCTTAAGTAACTTGGTATTACATCATCACAAAAAATGTTTTATACATTAACCAAATCAAACCCAAATCACTGTCTAAAAGAATGAAATAGCAACATTTTGTATAAAATATTGAAGTTCATACAAAAATGTATTGTACTGGTATTGGTTCTTCCAAAATTGGCCAAGTGCTGATAATTCATACGAAGACAATTGAGTTAAGCAGAAAAAGTCACCACTGAATCTCAATTAGAAGCATCACTCCAAAAGAATTTCCTTCACTAAAGTAATAAAAATAATTCTATAAAAAATGACAAAGAATTTTTCAAAACGATCTTTTAGTAGATTTTCACTTAAGCTAAGAATTACTGGTGATTTGGGATCAAACAGATTAAGTGAATTTTTTATGTCAAGCTAAGGAGTAAGTAAATTATTGATTCTGAACTAGTTCGGACTTGGTGTGAAACTGTGCATTTGAATAAAGAGGTTTCCATCAAAGCAAATGATTTCCTTTGATTAAGATAACATTAAGGATGAAGAAATCAAATAACTCAAATGTCATCTCCTAATTCATTTATACTCCTATTACCCTCCATTTTAAACTAAAGCACCCAATAACCTATAGGACATTAATCTAACAGTCCCTTTGTTCTCCTTCAACTAAAAGCCAGATGATTCCTAGGGAGAAAACAAACTCAATGCCACTGACTGAGTCAATTTACGACTCAGAGTGACCCTATAAGGACAGGGCAGAACTACCCCTGTGGCTTTCTAAGACCGTAACTCTTACCCTAGACAACACCCTAACATACTGAGCTCCCTTCCTCCCAGATGGGTCCCCAAGCTTCCCTCACTAGCCCTGGGAACTCTTCAGGGCAAGATAAAATCCACACATTGTATCATTTGTATTACCCATTAGACTATAAACTGTCTTTTTTCTACCTTGCTTACCATGGAATCCTCAAATATAAATTAATACTCGTTGAATGAATTTCTCATTGTTTAATATCATTAATTAAATGCAGGTAGTCACCCTCTCCCCAACTTAGAAGTGTCTACCACTATGTACTAAACCAGTTCTGACATAGTTGAATACTGTACCTCATTCTTTTTGTTTTCATTATCATTCCCTTTTATTATCAGTATCTTTATAAACTCAATCTTTGGGGATTAGAAATATTACACTTGAGAATGACAGCATTTAGCAAATTATGTGCTGCAACATTGTTTAGTATATATTACTAACAAAAAGTACAAAGGGGGTAAGGAGATTGTAGTTAAATACAGCCAACTTGAATTCTCAGTAAATCACCTGTATAGGTGATGGCACAAAACATTCACTGTATGTTCGATAAATAAATGGCCTAGGTAAATGCATACTCCTATATGCTTTTCAATAAATCACTTTTTAAAAGCCTGTTAAGAAAGTTAATCAGTGATGCCCAAACTTTAAAAAATTGTTTTGATAAGACAAAAACAAACTGTGCTTTTTAATCAAAATCATTCAATATTCCAAAGAAGTGAAATATAAATTGCAGAAGGGTTTTGCGGTTTTTGTTAACTTGTTTCTCCATTATCTTTAGTCTCTTACTATGGCAACATCATAACTACTCTAAGGTTGCAATCTTCCTACTCAGTTGACATTTCCTGACTTAGTACTAGTTTATCTTCTAATTTCCCAAATGACCACACACACATGGTTTTCCAACAGAGGAAATTTCCTCTGTAAACTCAAGCTTTGAAAAGGTAAAATCACAACACTTAACACTCTAGAATACTATATTCTTATTAAAATAACTTCAATTTTGAAGTTATTAGAAATTAGATTTCAAAATCCCCAAAGATTATTTTTCTCTTGTTATAATTATGTAAAATAATTTAGAGTACACAAACTTGCCACACTAAAATGCACTCACTGTACCTCAAAATATTTCAAGAGTTGCCATTAACAAAAATCTAGATGAAATAAGTTGCTCACAATTCCAATGGAAAGAAATTTGTAAATGCACCAAAAAGCTTGCAAAGTAAGGGGTTATGTAATATTGCTTTCTTAATACCAGCGTGTGACAGTAAAGAAATGAAAAACCCAAGGCCCCAACTTCCACTCAAATTTTTCCCTTGGTTAGCAATCCTTTTCTTTAAAAAAAAAATATTTAAGCTGCAATAAAGGATGTAATTTTTGTCATTTAGCAGTGGAATTGCTACCCATCTCAGAAAAATTGTTCTCAATATAGTTACTGAAAATAGAAATGTGAGATTGGCTTCCAAAAGTAGATGAATTAAAGATAGGTAAGAACCTGCCTTTTCAGAGCTTCACAAACTTGAAGTACATTCCTCTCACGAAAATGTTCAATTTAACTCTCTTCCCCAACTCCCAAAATAAAACTCAATGCCATCGTGGCCATGCCGACAATAAAGACACTACAGGAATGGGTAAAACAAAACCTGTGGGTTTTCAAGACTGTAACTGAATGGAAAGCCTCATCTTTCTACCGTTCAGCAGCTAGTGGTTTCAAACTGCTGACCTTGTTGTGTGGTTAGCAGTCCAATTCCTACCCACTACACCACCAAGACTTCCTTTCCCCAAAGTACTCCACATATGAAATCTAAAAGGGCCAAACAATATCTAGATTCCCCAAGAACCTAAAATTAGACTATTAAGTTTATCACGGGTATTACTACAGATTAAGTCATAAAAAGTCCCTAAGCTGGGTGTCCCCTTTATCGATTTTATGGGGATATGTTGGAAAATCGCCAACCCTAAGTCGAACGTCACAAATACCGAAGATGCTGCAAAAGAGCAAAGCCAGCGGGGGCAAATAAGAACACATAAGTAACAAGTTGCCCTCTAGGTGAATGGTAAACTGAATTGCTTTACCAGAACTCATCTCCATCGAGTCCGACCCATAGTGAACCTCAACTACAGGGCGGCGCAGAGCTACCCTTGTATGTTTCCAGGACGGTAAAGCCTCGTTTTTCTTTCGAGGAGCAGCTTGGTGGTTTTGAACTGCTGACCTTGAGATGAGCAGCCCAACAAGTAACCACTACACCACCAGGGCTCCTGCCTGCCATCAAACAAAGTGCCAGACCTTTTCCTATGACTTTTGAACGACCCATTCCCAGGCTGACGCACAGCTTTCCTCCCAGAACCCGTTTGGGCCCCCACCTAATCCAGCCAGATAGGCGATAACTTCAGGGTGCAGTGGCGCCGGTGTTCAACAAACGGAACAGCCAAGTTACGAACTCAATAAAAAGGCCTGACCCCACCCAGCTCCCTGCTAGTGCCCGTCCGGGATGCTTGTCCTCCAGCAGAGATTCCGGGAGCCGCTGCACCACTCCCGCCTCCCACGATCCCTGACATTCGGAAGCAGGCGGCGATGCAGCATGCGCCACCCCGGGTATCCACTTTCAATCACAGCCGAGAGCACCCGCTCTAAGGTCAACACCCACCACAACCTCAAAGTCAAATAACCCCATGAGACCCAGGGCTTGACCAGTGGAGCCCAGGCCTGCGAAGAAGCCAAGGGACCCAACGTTCGGGAGCTGCTCCTGGGGCCCAAGATGGCGGCGGCGGCAGCACCAGGTCCCGGCTCGGCCCTCCCCGGCCTCCGCGCCCGCCCGCGCGCGCACGGAGTGTGTGTGTGTCCAGCAGGAGGGAAGACGAGGCCGGGGGAAGCGCCGAGAGGAAGAAGCCCGGAAATGTAAGTGCTTGGGGGAGGGTCGGGCCCGTCAACATTCCCTCAAGCACTCAACGCCCGACACCCGCGACCACCACCCAAAAACAAAAACCGGCGCTCTCGACTACGGGAGACAAGCCCTGCTGGCCCTCCCGAAGGTCGGTGGTGCCCTACTCCTGCCTACCTTTAAATTTGAGGTCTGTGGGAGGGTCGAGGACCAGGATCTGCTCGTGCTTCGCCATGGCCCCGGAGGCGGACGCCATCGGAGAGGAGGGCAGGACGGGGACGCGCCCGCGGCAGCGGCTTGCTGGTGGGGGCGGGGGACGACGGCGGGAGCCGAGGTGCGGACCAACTCCAAGGCTGCGCCAGGCTCCCGGAGAGGAGCTCGCTTCCACCCTCTGGTTTGTCGCCCCGTTGCCCGGTGGGTCAGCAGCTCTGGGTCTCACAACTGACTCAACCCCACACCCGCCGCCAGGGCCGCGCGCACTGCGAGCCTCGGCGTCCACGTGACGCCACTGCGTGCCTCCGTGCGCGTCCCCGCGCGGGGTCCCACTGCCTTGCTGGCCGGGATTCCAGGCCTAGCGCGGCGAGATGCGAATGCGCCTGCGCGCTCCCAGCCCAGTCAGTTGCAAACGCAGCTGTCAAGGGAACCGAGTGTGGACTAGGGCGTGGCCCAGCTTCATGGGAAGGGCACCAGAAGGCAGAAGAGGACATTCCTTTGCGTGATTAGTTCCGAATATGAAACAAGAAAGCCTGATCTGGAAGAGCATCAACGTTTTCCAAGTGTTCCCGCTTGGAAATTGCCAATGTGAGAAAAAAGTTGTAGTCGTTAGTCACTCGTGAACTACAATTCCCAGCATGTCCCAGCCATTACGGAAGTCCAGGAAGGGTCTCGTGCTTTGCGTCTCACGCCGTGCGTGCTGGGAACTGTAGTAGGAGCCGCTGGTGGCGGGAAGGAGATTAAAGTCTGAGATTCGGACACGCTTACAAAGAACGTCGCATTTATGCGAAGAAGGAAAAGTAAAAATGGGAAATGACTCGAGGATCTCTGAGTAGTAAAATAAAAATATATACCCTTTAAAACATGCCAGGCTTTATCAGTAAGCACTCTTAAAAATTCTCATCTGTTGATAGGTACAACCTCTTCTGCTTACTAAATTATATCCAGTGATGCAAAATCAGATGAGAAAACACGCCTTGTTTAAGAACAAACGCATCGTTCCGAAACTCGAACAAGCTACTCTCCATCAACCTAGAAATAAAGGTAAAATTTTACAATGCTGCATTCAGTTACTGTGGTTTTACTCTATAGTTTTGATTAAGATACAAAGGTATTGGACAAAAAAATATTGTGGCAAAATTAAGACAATTTATTTTAAAATTCAAAAATTTGAAATCATTGTTTATTAACATATCCTCTATCAAATCTATATACTTCTGGAGGTAGTGTTTCCATTTCTACCTCTTTGCACAAGAATTATGCCCTCTAATTTAAAAATACATATTTTATTCTCTAACCAATATTTATTTAATTAAAACAACCCAATATATAGTTATCAAATAATAAAATAATTACCAGTAATTATTTTTAATCAGCTATACAATTTCATAAACCTTAAGTTAAAATAAATCATTATATTATAATTATTTGGTATGTCATTTTTGCTTTTTAAAAAAGAAGATTTACTGGCATATAATTGACATATCATACAATTTAATAGTTCAATCATATTAAGAAGACTTGTACAGTCATCACCAGAATCAATTACACAACATTTTTTTCTTTCTCAAACTAGTTGTTACCTCACCATTTCCCCACCACCTTCTACCATGCTCCTAGGTAACTATTAATCCAGTTACTGCCTCTATAGATTTGCCTATCCTGGATTTCATATACAGAAAAATCATACAACATAAGACAAATAATAAACAAAAGGAAATAAATGACAAACAAAAGACAGGAAAACCTCAATCGAAAAGAAAACAGAAAATACCGAAACTTTAAAATACCATTGAGTCCACTCCTACCCACAGAGTCCCTCTGCACAACAGAACGAAACGAGGCCCGGGTGCTGCACCATCTTCACAATTGTTCCTGTACCGGAGCCCAGTGTTGCAGCCAGAGTGTCACTCCATCTTACTGAGGGCCTTCCTTCCTCTTTTCACTGCCCTTCCATTTTACCAAGCATGATACTTTCTCCAGGGATTGGTGTCTCCTGACAATGTCTCCAAAGTATGTAGAATAAAGTCTCGCCGTCCTTGCCTCTGAAGAGCACTCTGGCTGTACATGCAACTGTAATTGCCATGGCTTGGGTCAGTCACACTTAAGTCATCAAAATAACACCCTTCTTTTCAAACTCTAAAGCGGTCTTGTGCAGATTTACCAAATACACCTGTTCTTTTGATCTCTTGAGAGCTGGTTCCATGAGCATTGATTGTGGATCCAAGCAAGGTGAAATTCTTGACAACTTCAACTTTTTCTCCATTTTTCAGGATGTTAACTCTTGGTTCATTTGTATGATTTTGGTTTTCTTTAATTGACTCGTAATCCGTACTGAAGACTGCAGTTCTTTATCTTCATCAGCAAGTGCTTCAAGTCTTTCGCACTTTAAGCAAGCAAAGTGTTATCATATGTATATCTGAGGTGGTTAAGAAACCTTCCTCCTTTCCTGATTTCACACTCTTCTTCATATAAGCCAGCATCTCTGATGATTTGCTCAGCATACAGACTGAATAAGTATGGTGAAAGGATGCCACCTTTCCTGATTTTAAACAATGCAATAGTCCCTTGTTCTGTTCCCACAACTGCCTTTGAGATCCATGTACATGTTCCTCAGATGCACAATGAAATGTGCTGGAATTCCCACTCTTCTGAAGGTTATCTACAGCTTGTTATGATCCACACAGTTGAATGCCGTGGCAAAGTCAATAAAACACAAGAATAAAATATTTCCAGTATTCTCTGCTTTCTGCCAAGATCCATCTGATATCAGCAATGATATCTCTTGTTATCCATTGGCTCCTTAATTTGTCCTGAACCTCTGGCAGCCCCCTAAGAATGTACTACTGCAACCTTTGTTGGATGATCTTGAAAAAAATTTTATTTTCATATAATATCAATTATATTATTCTATAATTTGAGTATTTGTTGTGTCACCTTTCTTTGGAATGGATACAAATATGGATCTCTTCAGTCACTTGACCAAGTAGCTATCTTATAAATTTTCTGGCATAGATGGGTAAGTGCTCACAGTGCTTCATCAGCTTGTTCAAACTATTCAGATGCTACTCATCAACTTCTGGAGGTATGTTTTTAGCTAATACTTTCAGTGTAGCTTGAACTTCTTCCTTTGGCAGCATTGATTTTTGCTCATGTGCTGCCTACTGAAATGTGGACTGTCAACTGGTTCTTTTTGATCCATCTTTATAGATAGCTAGATCATTTCTTGCATCATTCAATATTTTGTCCATAGAATCGTTCAAGATGATAACTCAAGGTTTGAATCTTTTCTCCATTTCTTTCCGTTTAAGATATGCTGAACATAGTGAGGACCTAATGTCGGGGGTTTAAGTGCAGAGAAAATGTTTTGAGAATGATGTACAAATGCGCTTTACACAATTGATGTGTGTATAGATTGCGATAACAGTTGTATGAGCCCCTAATGAAATGTTAAAAAAAAAACAACCCAAAACCAAATAAAAAAAAAAGATATGCTGAACAATGTTCTTCCCTTTCGGTTTTCTAATTCTAAGTCTTTGCACATTTCATTACAATATTTGACTGTGTTCTTAAGCTGCCCTTAGAAAATTTCTATTAAGCTCTGCGACTTCATCATTTTTTCATTTCCTAAGCCTTTTTTTCACTTGCTAAGATTAAGAGCAGGTTTCAGAGTCTCTTGTGACATCCACTTTGATCTTTTCTTTCTTTCCTGTATTTTTGGTGACATTGCTTTCTCTATCCATGATGTTCTTGATGTCTTCCCACAGCTCATCGGGTCTCCCGTCATTAGTGTTCAATGTGTCAGATCTGTTCTTGGAATCTTGAAATTCAGGTGGGATAAACTCAGGGTTGTATTTGGGCTCTAGTGGACTTGTTTTCATTTTCTTCAGCTTTAATCTGAACTTACATATGAGCAACTGGTGGTCTGTTCTACAATTAGTCCCTGGCCTGGTTTTAGCTGCTGATATTGAGCTTCTCCATTTTCTCTTCCCACAGATGTAGCGAATTTGATTTCTGTGTATACCATCTTGAGAAGTCCATGTGGTTTTACCTTGTGTTATTTTAAAAAGGTATTTGCTTTTGTGTTATTTAAGAAAGGTATTTGCTATAAGCAACTCGTTGATCTTGCAAAACTCTCTCATGTGATCTTCAGCTTTGTCTCTAAGAACCAGTTCACATTTTCCAACAAGTGTCCCTTCCTGTTGCATTCCAATCACCAATAGTTATCAATTCATATTGATTGCATATTTGATCAATTTCAGACAAATCATTAGTATAATTCATTTTTTCACCACTTGCCTGTATGGTTGGTGGATAAATCTGAGTAATAGTTGTATTGATTGGATTTCTTTGAAGGCAGATAGATATAATCATATCACAGATAGTATTGTACCTCAAGATTGATTTTGAAATGTCCTTTTCTGACAACGAATGCAACTCCATTTCTCTTTATTATTTCTGACATTGTATATCATATAATTTTCTGATTCAAAATGGCCAATACCAGTTCATTTCAGCTCACCTAGGGTTATGCATTCTATTTCCTTTTGACCAATTCAAATGTTACTAAATTCCTACTTTGCAAATTCCAAGCCCCTATCATTAGCAGATTTTTGTAACATTTCTTCTTAACTGGAATTGTGTCTTGTCAACAAATGAAGATCCTGCAGGTTCCACTCCTCTAGGCTGTCTCCACTCATGTTACCATGGTCCACTCATTCTGAAAAAGTAACTCCTCCTCAGTCACTTGTCAATTGCTCTCCAACCTTAGAGGTCGATCCTCCGGCACAAGCTCTGACATTAGTCTGCTTCCACTCACTGGACCGTCAGTCTCTGACAGCATTTCAAACCTAGGCAAAAGGCCATCGGTGGCTACTTCCTCCGAAGTGGGCAGCCAATTCCTTCTCCAGTGTCTGTTCTTAGTCTGGAAGCTCCACTGAAACCTATCCATTTTCAATGACCCTGCTGATAGTTGAAATACCAGTGACATAGCTTCCAGCATCACAGCAACACACAAGCCACCACAGTAAGACAAACGGACAGACAATAACAGAAAAAAAAAGGGTCAAAATGGGAGATCAAATGATAAGGTGTTACATTTTAACCTAACTACTTCCGTCATAATCATACACGACCCTGTCTGATAGCAAGGCTAGTAACATCCCTGGGCTATGGTAAGAGGAGATTGAATGAAGCCTTAATCACATTGGGACTCTACAAATGGATTTTAGGCTTCCACTGTCATCCTTACCATTTTACA